ACACACACACACACACACACACACACACACACACACACACACACACAAAATCTGACCCAAACTCTTCTCAGCTGAACTCAGTTCTGCACATTGTTCTGCTCCAATCTCGATTACCACTGTCATGTGTTTCAATTCTCAGTTGTCCAGCTAAGGAAAATCCATCCATCCATTTATTTTAGATAATAAATTGGACTGTCTTTTCAACATTTTGATCGCTGTTATTTTGACTAATTAGTGTCGTTGTTTTGAAATGTGATGTAATGTGAATAATACACATCAAACATTTCATTTGTTTTGTTGGTTTTTTTTGTTTGTTTTTTTACTGTAAGATTTTTTAAAATTATCTCTGAAATGTATGCAGGAGTTCTGACATAACAGCAGTTGTGCATGCTCTTATCCCCCGCAGGACATGCGGTCCGCATCTCTGCTGGGCAGGAGCGTGTGCGCGAGCTGGTGCACCTGCTGCGGCTGGAACATCCACTCCACAGAATGTCTCTTCTCATTGTCTTTTTAATAAATAATCAAAATAAAAATGCGTGATGACTTTGGATTTTTATGGGCGGAGATTTGAAACTTAAGAAGTTTAAAGCCATCCAGTCCCTGATGTCAGCCAGGCAGTCAAGCAGAGGTTGAATAGAGCATGTACCATTGTGTTTTAGGGGGAAGTAAATTTGACAGTCGTCAGCGTAGAAGTGAAACGGTATGTTGTGTTTCCGAAAAATAGCACCAAGTGGCAGCAGGTATAGAGAGAATAGGATGGGACCCAGGATGGACCCCTGCGGAACCCCCCATTTAAGCTCTGTCGCTGCAGAACTAAAATCATAGGAGGATATGCGGTGGAAGTGGTCTCCGGTTACAAGTACTTGAGTGTGCACGTGAGTAAGAACTTCAGCTGGAGCAACAACACCACCAGCCTGATCAAGAAAGCTCATCAGAGACTTTACTTCCTCAGGCGGCTGAGACGAGCTGGTTTGGGAAGCTCAGTCCTCACCTCCTTCTACAGGTGTGCAGTGGAGAGCATCCTGTGCTCCAGCATCAACGTGTGGCATGGAGGCTGCACAGCTGCAGAAAGAAAAACTTTGCAGAGAGTGGTGAAGGTGGTACAGAAGACTGTTGGAGTCAGTCTCCCCACCGTCACAGACATCTACACCTCCAGATGCAGGAAGAGGGCCACCTGCATCATGAAGGACCCCACACACCCAGCACACACATTTTTTGCCCCGCGCTCCCCTCAGACAAGAAGTTTAGGAGCATTAAGTGTAGAACCACTATACTGAGGAACAGCTTCTAATGAGGGAGCTCCACTCCATGGAAGACATGCATTCTTAAATGAACTCCACCAAAGACTTTGGCCAGCTCTCTCCAGTACTCAATTACGTGGAACCTTCAGGCATGGAAGAACAGAAAAAAAACTCCAGCAGGCTCAGGACAAGCAGCCATCTGCTTCGACCAGCTGGGTTTGAGATGACATGAAGTAGAAACAAACAAATATAGAACGGCATGTCCAGAGGCTGTTAGACTCGTGAATCTCTAACCAGAATAATCACTGTGAAGAAAAAAATCATTGTAATGCCACTTTTATTGGTGATATGTGACTTATCTGTGGTGCTGATTATCCATGCTGCTGATCTCATACTGCTGATTATTTCATGCTGCTGTATTCAGTCATACCCATCCGCTCACCACAGGCTCATGTTCGGGCTGCTGTTGTGACACTGTATTGTTTTGCATTATTAGTGTTTAGCTTATATCTTGGTGTATATCTTAGATACTTATATACTGTTTTTGTTTTGCACTTTATACTATTGTTGGATGTAAATGGGACCCTGTGTACATTCGTTCCACCTCATGTACCACATGCGATGGTAATGACAATAAACCTACTTGAACTTAAAACTTAATTATTTTTATCTTAACATGTGGTTTTTGTCTTTCCTTCAAAAGAAAGTACACTTGGACATGCCGTTCTATGTTTGTTTGTTTCTACTTCATGTCATCTCAAACCCAGCTGGTCGAAGCAGATGGCTGCTTGTCCTGAGCCTGCTGGAGGTTTTTTTCTGTTCTTCCATGCCTGAAGGTTCCACGTAATTGAGTACTGGAGAGAGCTGGCCAAAGTCTTTGGTGGAGTTCATTTAAGAATGCATGTCTTCCAGGGAGTGGAGCTCCCTCATTTGTCTCTTTTTTTATTATGTTGTGTTTTTCTTACTTTTTGATTCCTCCTAAAGCTTCCCCTTTTTTGTTAGGGTCATCGAGCTAGGCCATAACAACAGGTTGACAGGATAACAACATCAGGTGTTGGTCTGACTTTTAAACCTTTAAACTCAACTACCAAACTAACTTCCAAATATTCAGAAAATATATGTAAACATGTGGCTTTCAAGAAAGTAATCCAAATTTTCTGAAATGTTTTGCCTTTCATCATCCAGGAATTTAGCTTTTTTTGTGTGTGTGAATCCTATCTGACTTAAAACAGGAAATGCTTGGTCTGATTTAATGTCATAACATGAGAAAAATGGTTCTGTCTTTTTATACAGTTGTGAACATCTGATATATCCAGATGGATGACTGAGAATCTTCTTCAGCAACATCTGGTATAAGCCATTTATAAATTAAACTTTGATGTTGTTATCATTTATACCGCTAGGTGGCACTGCTTAAGGCTTCGCGCGCATCTCAATAAGGTTTGTCCTTCCGCATTTACCGTAGTTTTAATGTAAACATGGTGTCTGACAGCGACAACGACGAGGATTTTGTAACTTTTGGAACGCCATTGGAGCCCTTGGAGGAAGGTAAAGTTAATTTTATCATGACCGCCAATGTTTCACTTTCTCGGCGAAAGCTTCTGACGGTTCACCGGTGATTTAACGGAGCCACGAGGACTCAGCAGGAGATGAACGAGCTAGCTGCTAGCTGCTACAAATAAATGATTTACCGTCATTTCTCATGCTGCAGGATTGCGCAGCAGTGCAGAAGTCAAGTGTTTGTTTATACTTGGACCAAAAAATGCTTTGCTTCAGGAGAGTTTTAATAATTTTATTTATATCCAGTCCAGCAAACAGGCTAGATTGCTTTGGTATTCAGCTTAGCTGAAAATTGACGAAAGTCTTATTTACAGAAAACATTTCCCCAAGTATTCTGTAAGCATCTGTTAAAGTCAGTTTTCTGCCATTAAATGAGTAAATTATGTTTGTGTCAGATCGTGGATCAATCTGGTGGATCAGTGGTGGGTCTGAGACCTTCCTCCAGGTTGGGTTTAGTTTTGTCATGTGCTTGTGTCTGCAGATGAGCCCCCCAGGAAGCCGGTCCCGCTGCACGAACAGACGGTGAAGGATGAGAAGGGACGGTACCAGCGGTTCCATGGAGCCTTCACCGGAGGCTTCTCAGCTGGTTACTTCAACACTGTCGGCTCCAAAGAAGGTTGGAGTTGTCACATCACCTCCTGCAAACTTCATACAGGATGGACCTTTAATTTGTCATGAACTTACAGATGGTTTCAAGTACAGGATTGTAAATATAGGAAGACCAAACATAAAGTGTCCGGGGGTGTAGGGGCTGTGTTTGCCTCCTGCTGAGGAGCAAAGCGAAGCGCCTGAAAGCTCTTGGATTTGAACAAAACTTGTGGCTGAAGCACAAAATGCACAATTTAGATTTTACACATTATTTTAGCAGAGTGACCAATATGTCAGAGACAAAAGTTAATTTATTAACATTTTATTTAGCATTTTTATAGATTGACATAAAGCTTCTGAGATGTGTGTTCCAAATACTGGGAATCTTGGATTTAATATATCTAAACCTAAATGTATTTCATACTCTAAATATTCTCCCATACACACACCTCATTTTCCAACAATTAACAGATTATTGTAAATAAACTAAGTTTAGTGCTATAAAATTTCAGACATTTGTCATATTTTATTTTCAGTCGGAGTGACACCACTTAGTATGAAGCAGTTGTGATTCAGAGTATAATACTCAGGTACACTGCAAATTCTCATTACTGAGTATAAATATTTAAGTCTACTCAGGAGACAACTTTGACAGCATAAGCTTTATATTTTCCTCAAACAGATGTTTCCTTGAATTTATATTATTATTTATATTTCATTAGGTTGAGTAGTTTCAGCCTGGTCTGTCTGCATCCATTAGGCGTCTTTTACAAACTGCATGTCTTAATTAATAAACCCGTCCACTCTGTTTGCTTGTAATCCGCACCAGGGCTGCACAATTTAAGGCAGCAGTGTCTGAGTGGTTAGAGCAGTCATCCTCCAGTGGTAGAGTTGGGGGTTTGAGTCCACCAGCAGTCAAATGTTGAAGTGTCCCTGGGCAAGACACTGAACCCCTCATTGCCTCTGATTTATTTATTTTATTATTTATTATCCTTTATTTAACCAGGCAAATCCCATTGAGATCACAGATCTCTTTTGCAAGGGAGGCCTGCGCCTGAAGACAGACTAGCATGCATGTTTTTGGTCTGTGGGAGGAAACCGGAGCACCTGGAGAAAACCCACAGAAGCATGAGAAGAACATGCAAACTCCACACAGAAAGACCCCAGATCCAACAGGGGATTGAAACCAGGACCTTTTTGCTGTGAGGCAACTGTGCTAACCACTGAGCTGGCGTGCTTCCAAATGTCTGATATGTGTCCCATCGATGTATAAATGTGATCTAAAGCTGTGATTAGTCTACTGATTCAGATTATCTTTGTAGAGATGTAGTAGAATACTGTATGAATGTGTGGGTGGAGGTAAATGAGGGCACAGACTGTTGTAATGAGCTTTGACTATCTTCATTAGATAGAAAGGTGCTATATAAGTACAATCCATTTACCATTTTAGAAAATCTTGCAATGATCAAAGTATTTTTCAACATTACAAACATTATCTCAGATAAAGCCACATTTTCCTTGTTTTCTGTTCAGTCATCATTTAAACCAGGTTTGGCCATCAAGACCAGAGAGAGTCTGTTGGACTAAAAAAAAGAAATATATATATATGTATATATATATGTATATACAGGTCCTTCTCAAAAAATTAGCATATTGTGATAATGTAATGATAAAAATGAAACTTTCATATAGTTCAGATTCATTGCACACCAACTGAAATATTTCAGGTCTTTAATTGTTTTAATACTGATGATTATGGCATACAGCTCATGAAAACCCAAAATGCCTGTCCCAAAAAATTAGCATATCATAAAAAGGTTCTCTAAACAAGCTATTAACCTAACCATCTGAATCAACGACGTAACTCTAAACACCTGCAAAAGATTCCCGAGGCTTTTAAAAACTCACAGTCTTGTTCATTACTCAAAACCACAATCATGGGTAAGACTGCCGACCTGACTGCTGTCCAGAAGGCCATCACTGACACCCTCAAGCAAGAGGGTAAGACACAGAAAGAAATTGCTGAACGAATAGGCTGTTCCCAGAGTGCTGTATCAAGGCACCTCAGTGGGAAGTCTTTGGGAAGGGAAAAGTGTGGCAGAAAACGCTGCACAACGAGAAGAGGTGACCGGACCCTGAGGAGGATTGTGGAGAAGGGCCAATTCCAGAGCTTGGGGGACCTGCGGAAGCAGTGGACTGAGTCTGGAGTAGAAACATCCAGAGCCACCGTGCACAGGCGTGTGCAGGAAATGGCCTACAGGTGCCACATTCCCCAGGTCAAGCCACTTTTGAACAAGAGACTGCGTCAGAAGCATCTCGCCTGGGACTGCTGCTGAGTGGTCCAAAGTTATGTTCTCTGATTACAGTAAATTTTGCATTTGCTTTGGAAATCAAGGTCCCAGAGTCTGGAGGAAGAGAGGAGACACAGAATTCACATTGCTTGAGGTCCAGTGTCAAGTTTCCACAGTCACTGGGGTGTCATGTCATCTGCTGGTGTTGGTCCACTGTGTTTTATCAAGGGCAGGGTCAATGCAGCTAGCTATCAGGAGATTTTGGAGCACTTCATGCTTCCATCTGCTGAAAAGCTTTATGGAGATGAAGATTTCATTTTTCAGCACGATCTGGCACAGTGCCAAAACCACTGGTAAATGGTTTACTGACCATGGTATTACTGTGCTCAATTGGCCTGCCAACTCTCCTGACCTGAACCCCATAGAGAACCTGTGGGATATTGTGAAGAGAAAGTTGAGAGACACAAGACCCAACACTCTGGATGAGCTTAAGGCCTCTATCGAAGCATCCTGGGCCTCCATAACACCTCAGCAGTGCCACAGGCTGATTGCCTCCATGCCACGCCGCATTGAAGCAGTCATTCATGCAAAAGGATTCCCGACCAAGTATTGAGTGCATAACTGAACATGATTATTTGAAGGTTGGCGTTTTTTGTATTAAAAACACTTGTCTTTCATTGGTGGGATGAAATATGCTAATTTTTTGGGACAAGCATTTTGGGTTTTCATGAGCTGTATGCCATAATCATCAGTATTAAAACAATTAAAGACCTGAAATATTTCAGTTGGTGTGCAATGAATCTGAAATATATGAAAGTTTCATTTTTATCATTACATTATGGAAAATAATGACCTTTATCACAATATGCTAATTTTTT